TCGCTTTCCATACTCAGCGACGACACAACTACTACAACAACCGACAGCAGCAGCCGAAGCCAGTACCTCCGTTTTGTCACATCTGCAAAACATCAGGACATCCACGCACGCATTGCCCGTCCCGTCAGATAACACCACAGCGACAACTGCGGCCTTCAAGCTCCCAAGTTGCTTCGACACAAGCAAGTCCGACAACCACGATTCAAGCTTCAACGACTTCAACTAGACAACCTGCACAAGGAGCAAGAAACATAGTCAACTGCATGGTCAAGATAAACGATTCTTGCATAACAGAGTCACCACCCCACTACTCACCAGAAGAGGAGCTCGACAACAGGACGCCCCGCCGCGAATCACTCCACCCGAATCCGACTTACGCCGCCATCGCTCAAAGTGAACCGTCTGGCCAAGACACTTGGTTCTTGGATAGTTGCTGCGGGCAACACATGTGCTCGTCCGGACGCTTCGTACAACGCGAACACCGACTCCAACGAGAAGTTGTCATCACAGTCGCCAACAATCAAAACCTGCGCACACGACGACAAGGAGTGGTACAGCTTCAGTCAAGAGAAACAAATGTCATACTGCACATGTCAAAGGTACTCATCGCTGAAGGACTCGGTTACAACTTACTGAGTGTTAGCCAGTTGATGGCGAAGGGGATTCACCTGGAAGCCGACAGCACCACCCAAGAGTTCAAGCTATACCACGGGAGAGGCGGTCTCTACATCGGGAAAGCAGTATTGAAGAACAACGTCTTCGTCCTTGACTTCGTTCCTGACCTGGGCACTGCAGACAGCGACGCCATCGTGAACTTTACTGACTGGACACACCCTCCAGATCTCGACCCCGACTTCAGCCCGGGAGGTTATTGGTACTCCCACACTATCCCTGAAGCAGAACGAACACGAGCGTTAGCGACGATTCAACAAACAACAGAAGCAGAGACAACATCGGCAGCAGCAACAACATCGGCAGCAGCAACAACATCAGCAGCAGCAGGAACAACGACACCAGTCACAGTTGACGAAGCACCACCAACACCCGCACAACAGCTAAATCCGACTCAACGCGAAGTCCACCGAAGCGCCAACTTCGTCGCCAGTTTTTACTCCAACTCCGACGCATACCAACGTTCACCCGGACACCGCGCCTCTGAAGAGATCTGGCACGCACGCACAGGACATCCAAGCAACACGGTTTTAAATAACACGATAAGAGCAGGAGTTCTTGACAAAGACTCTCTACTTCTACCCGACGGCAGAGAACTCCAAAAGGCACGAGGGACTTGCCTTAGATGCCCCGAAGCTGACTTACCTCATCGACCATTCGCTCCACATCACAACCCGAGCGCACCAGCGTGCGCACCACTTGAAAAGGTTTACAGCGACATCCTCTACAATCGCGAACCAGGACAAGTCAACTACAACTACACCATCACCTTCATCGACGCCGCCACTCGATACGTCTGGCATCGTAACCTACCCAGCCGCGACATGGCGCTCGCAGCATTCGCCGCCTGGCTACCGATAGCAGAGAGAGAGTCTGGAACGCAACTGAAAAGCTTCCAGTCAGACGGAGGTGGCGAGTACACCTCTCAGCGCTTCAAGCAGTTCCTGGCGGAAAGGGGGATCAAGCAACTCCTCTCCCTTCCCTATGCACATCAGCAGCAAGGTGTCGCAGAACGAATGAACAGGACTCTGCAGAACAGCATGCGCAAACTGTTACGTGGCATGCGGCTACCCAACCACCAGTGGCCAGCAGCAATGGACCATGCTGTCATGCTGCACAACTTGTTGTCGTCGTCGTCACTCCCGAACAACGCATCACCGCATCTGCTGTGGACAGGGAAGCAGGGCAGCACAAAAATGTTACGAGTCTTCGGGTGCATGGTACAGTACAGACCCCCAGAAGCACGAGCGGGAAGATTTTCACAACGGGCACAGTGGGGACTACACCTCGGCATCGAGAAAAATTACAACGCGTGGAGAATCTTCGACGTCCACACAAAAGAAACAGTAGCAGCACGTGATGTGATCTTCTACGAACGACTCACCCTTCAAACGTACCTCGCCAACTTGCACGAGAATCGGGACCTCACCAGTGGCTTTCGTGGTGACCGAGCCTTCGCGTCAGCAGCGGATGAAGCAGACTGGGATGAGCAGAACGTCGACAACGCATCGGAGGAAGCCGGACCTCTTCCGTACTGCTCCGTCGACGTGCCCATGGATGAGGAAAATCCTCGCGATAGTAACAACGCCGAAGTCTTCTACCATCTCGCCGACAATGGTTACGTAACACCTGCGACAGTCAACACCAACGAAGCAGAAAGGGTAGGGCCTAATTTCATACCCGACCCAGAAGCGGGAGACGAAGCAGCTTATCCCGAGGATCCAGAACTCCCTCGATACTCACAGACTGGGCTGCAAATCCTTGGTCTCGTCACCGCAGTCCATGGCGCCACCATTCCTAAGGAGCCTGCGACGATTCAACAGGCTCTGGGGGGGGAACACAGGGAGAAATGGCGTGAAGCCATGGACAAAGAACTGAAGGCACTGGAGGAGCGCAACACCTGGAAAATCGTTCCCATCGGCGTAGCACAAAACAAGACTATCCTTACCGGGAAGTGGGTCTTCCGTGTGAAGACGAAAGCTGACGGCACCATCGACAAATTCAAAGCTCGCTGGGTCGTGCGCGGCTTTGACCAGGAGCACGGAAGAGATTACACCGAAACCTTCGCTCCGGTCAGCCGTCACACCTCACTCCGAATCCTCATCGCCGTCGCCGCCATGAAGAAAAAGAAACTGCGACAAATCGACGTCGCAAACGCATTTCTCTACGCACCTGTGGATGCAGAAATCTTCGTCGAGCTCCCGCACGGCTCCCACGGCGAACCCAACCGAGTCTGTCAACTGCTTAAGTCGCTCTACGGGATCAAGCAGGCACCGCGACTGTGGCAGCAGTACCTACACGCCCGCCTCATTCGCATCGGTTTCAAACAACTCCCGCACGACCAGGGCATGTATCGCCTCACAAAGGGAAGTGACTACGTTCTCCTAATCGTCTACGTGGACGATCTCCTCTACATTGGGTCAACCGACGGCATCGCCACGTGGTTCGAAGGGGAGCTTCAGAATGACCTCACGCTCACGGTCTCTTCTACCGTTACGAAGTACCTCGGGCTCAACATCCGCGAGGAAGAAAACGCAATCTATCTAAGCGCCGAGAAGTACGCCGACACCATCGCGAAACGCTTCGGCCTCACACCAAGCGCCATCTCCACGCCTCACCGCTACACGTCAGGAACCGAAAAGGGACGATCTACTCCACTCAAGCCCGCCGGCATACGCGACTATCAGAAGAAGCTCGGATGTCTTCTCTTCGCAGCAGTCACATGCCGTCCCGACTTATCCTACTCCGCGAGCCAGCTCGCCACCTATCTCAAGAAGCCTGAAGCAGAGCATCTGGCGGAACTCGATCGCGCTCTCCACTATTTCGTCAGCACCGCGACGATCGGATTAACCTATCACAAAAACGCAACTACACCGACCAAGCTAATCGGCTACGTCGACGCCGATCACGCCGGCGACACCGATAACAGACGCTCACGCACCGGTTATGTCTACCGCCTCGAACCTATCGGTCCTATCTCCTGGCAGTCGAGTAAGCAGGAGTTAATCGCACTGTCTTCAGCTGAAGCAGAATATATTGCACTCTGCTCAGCCACCAAGGAGGGACTTTACCTTCGCGAACTGCTGGAAGAAGCGAAGCTAGCCGAGTTACCCAGCTTCACCGTGTTCTGCGACAACCAGTCAGCAATTCGCATCGCCAACAAGAACGGCTTCGCAAACAGGACGAAACACATCGCCTTGCGCTATTTCTTCGTGAAGGACGAGATCGAAAAGGGGAAACTCGATCTGTCATACTGTCCAACATCTGAGATGGCAGCCGATTACTTGACCAAGAAACTCGGAAAGCAGAGGTTCGAATACTGCATGATGCTGACTGGACAAGGCCACATCACCTGCGACGACACTCCAGAAGCGAAGGGGAGTGTTGGAAACAATAAGTCTTACCGTAGTGCGCTTCTGTCGTGTCAAAACCCAAGACACTAGCGAAGCAGTCCGAATCGAAGCATCGAGTTGAACCTCGGAGGTTAGGGTAACCGCCTGGAGGTTACGGGAAAGTCAAAGGTCAGCGTCCTTTGACTCGACAATTACAGCGCGACAGTTAAGGACACACAACTGACTCGTTACAGAGCAGTTGCCCGAGTCGCACTGTATCGAATCGCAACAGCAATACAGTTATCTATCTATTCGTATTCCCTGTACCCTTATATAAAACCTTGTATTTGCTTATTTGATTTAATCCACTTTGTTCTCACACACTAGTGCAAGGTCGGTTCACAAACTTCATTAAACGCTTCCGCTATTACCGTCTCCCCCCGGATATAAGCGCCACCCTAGGATAAGCGCCTGGCGCTTCTAATTGGCATATGGCGCTTATATCCCCTCCTCGATTATAAGCGCACCCCTTGAAAAAACTTGTTTTATTATAAGCGCACGTAAACTTTAAAATTTGAAATGTGTTCAAAAAGCTGTAACGATTTTTACTTTAGCAGGCGGATATGTTGCAGATTCGGTTCCCTTCACATTCGGACCCTGCACTGGATGCGGGTCCAGTCAGCAGGACCTATCAGGAGCTGGATGTGAGTCAGATTGGGTGTATCTCCCAGCGCGCGCGAGAATTTCACAGACGATCCCATGTAACTTCGACTCGATTGAAAAGGCAAGCACGAGACCTACAGTTTGGTGTTAAAAGATATAAAAAATATGTATGTCATTTTATAAACGCCGGCGCTTATAAATTTACTCGATTATAAGCCCACCCCCATGAAAAAACCTGTTTTATTATTGCCCCCCATGGGGGTATATCCGGGGGGATACGGTACAAGTTTCCTACCCAGTGTTATCCTCTGCAAAGATCCTTAAGGGCTTTTTTCAGCCCAACAAACTGTACGCGCCTCGTGCATACGGGTCCAAATTCCACCGCTGTAACCAAACTGCATGCGCCTTTGCATTCCTGTATTTTGGGAACATTACTTTTATCTTGTCAACCGCATCCCTAATGCACTCCGCCTCGCTCATTTTTGCCATCCGGGTAGCATACGAACCAACCGCAACACCCTCCAAAGCCGTCATTCCCCACGCACGCTTCAAATTCACCCAGTCAACCCACCGCCCGCGATTTCCTGGAAGCTGTGCATCCTCGATAAAATACTCGTCCACCCAGGTGGGCCAAAACGTGGAGTTGTAGAAGAAGAACACCTTGTTGACATCTCCGAACCCAACGCGCCTTATGGCGCCTTGCTTTCTCGCAGAGAGCGCGGGAGAGAAGGTCACAACCCCGGCCTTGAGGACCCCGAGAGGGAGTGTGATGATGGCAGCGTCGCCTGTGTACGAGCGGGTGGCGCCTGTGCTCGTGTCCTTGCCGGTGATCTGTACTGCTCCCGAGGTCAGGCGCATGATGGCAGTGACTTCAAAGTTGAGCACCAGCTGTGCTCCGGCGTCAGTGGCCTCCTGACGAGGGAGGCGGGGGAGGGGAGGAAAATTGGGATGGGAATGAGGGATGAGCTCAGCTGGAGGGAGAAACAGAGGGAGAGATGGACATGACAGGGATTATGGGATAGAGGGGGAGTAAGGTACTGGGGGGTAGGGTAAGAGGTGGTGACGAAGGGGAGTGAGGAAGAGGGAGGTTTGAGAAGAGGTGGAATGAGCACAGAGGGAGCAAGAGAGAGAGAGTAGGGAAGTGGGGGTATGAAGAAGAGGGGGAGTGGGAGAGGGGGAGTGAGGGATGAGCTCACAAAGACACACTCCCACGGACCTCGATGCACATTACGGGGATGCTGCCATAACCACTGGAGCTACCAGATCAGGACGGTCAAACCCATTCACACGCCCACACTATTCCAAACACACTCATACACACTTCCAAACACACTCTCACACACTCTCAAACCCACTCTCACAAACTTTCAAACACACTTAAAAACACTTCCAAACACACTCCCACACACTTAAAGCACACTCCCACACACTTATAAGCACACTCCCACACACTTATAAGCACATTCCCAAACACTTTTTAACACACTCCCACACACATCCACACACACTCCCACACACTCACACACACTTCCACACGCACTTACACACACCCTCACACAAACTTCCAGACATACTCCCACACACTTTCAAACACACTCCCACACACTTCCAAACACACTCGCTTCAAATGCGCACTCCCACACACACACTCACACACGACCCAGCAACCGGCCACACACCTCCATGAGCTTCTTGGGGATGTTATCGTAGCCGTTGGTGACCACCAGATCCGGCGGCTGAAAGGCGTCGTCCTCATAGTACCAGGCGGACAGAGTGGAGAGGTCGCCCGCGTACTCAAACTCGAAGTCCACTGCCACGCGCGACTGCCGCCAGCTCGGGAAAGCAAGGGGGATGAGTTCAGGATCGGGCTGCTAGATAATGGAGAATGGTTTTGGTGGTACTGGCAAAGAGGCGTGTCGTTTCTCTGCCCGCGTAGTACCAGGCAAAGTCGCTTGAGAGGGAACAGGCCAGTCCAAGGACTCAGGCACGGCGTTCAGCGCTACCCAGGACACCAACAATCCTGAAAGAATGGCGGGAGGCTTAGTACTTAGAATGACCTTTGGCTGAATGCTGTTCATAGTACGAGGGGTTTACATGAGAAAAGAAACATCCTGGTAGCAAACACGAATGGTTGCCAAAAAGCTATAACTCAGAGTTGTTCCAAAATCAACTTTATACCTGGATGTACGGGTATCGAGTCAATAGACATACCTGGGAAGTGCTCAATCGAAAGTCATACCTGGATGTACGGGTTCAGAAAGTTTCCCGCGGCTCGAAACGCCTTCTCCATCGAGATGTCGTTGTCCTGATTATTCGCGATCTGCTTGGCGCGCTTCAACGCCCAGTCGTACTTGGCCGACGCGACTTTTAGCTGAAAGTCAGTGTAGGCCTTGCCGCCCGCGCGGTACTGGATCTCCTCGCCGTTCTGCTCGCCGATATTGAGCTTGAATCGGCGCGCAAGGGCCGTGATGGGGTTGCCTGTTGATGATTGGATCCACTGCGCGCCCATCTCGCCGCGAATCACGCCGCCGCTGCCGACGCCCGCTGCAGGCGCGGGCTCCGTGCGGCTCCACATGCGCCCGCCCACGCGGTTGCGCGCCTCGAGCACCGTGACCTGCGGGAGAAGGGGGTCAGTGGGTTTGCGGGGGAAGAGGGGGGAAGGGGAGAGCGCGCGCGGGGTTCAAGCACACTGCTCACGGTCGGACAGCATCAATAGCACCGACTAATCCGCATGGATGAGTGCTCCCGACTTCACAAGTGCGCGTGCGGCCTGGCAGCGGAAATATGACAAGCATCACGAGCGACGCGCCTTTGAGGCGCTGCTCGCCGTAGCTGCGGCCCTCGCGGCGACTTTATGCGCGACTTGTCAGCGCATTTCGCGACGTACGTTGTTTAGCAGACGAGGCCCCAAGCGGACGAAGCGTGGGACTTCGAATTGGACCGGTGCCCGCGACGCTTGTGGGAGCGTTCCTCTGCGAGGTCCACGACGCACCTTGGAACACTCGTCTTTCGGGCCGTCTGTTACGGAAACAGCGCCTTGAATGGCGGAAATCTTAGAAATCATTTATCTAGAATTCCGGAAATGAAGTGATTTGGGCAAATTTTGGCGGCTGGCGTACGACGCACCTTGAAGCACTCGCCATTAGTGACGGCGATGTGTCGCGCCGCGGCGACACCTGAGATCCCCGCGCCAACGACCAGCACGTTCCGCACCTTGTCGCACGCGGCCTCCGAAAATCTAAACTGCAATTGCAGTGTGAAAACCACCGCGGGGATCAATAGCAAGAGCAGCAGCCTATGCCGATCCGGTGACGCATTTTGCAGACGAAGCATTCCCATGTTGACCACTGTCGCGAAAGCTCGACAATATAATATCAAAGGTATGTTACTAGGTACCCTGGCACGACGCAATGGAGAAGTGAGCGATCGAAGAATTGCTCAGATATCGCTTATGACAGACTTGGGAGAGGGAATATTGTGGATAAACGATGTGGGAAATAGAATACGGTACATATAAATATGGCGCGACAGAGGAGCAAGTTATGAAATCGTCGAACAACAAAGGTCTGATGACAGCACCAATAATTGTGCTGTGACCCATAGGGCGAAGAATTTGGCATCGTGTTTTTGCGAGAAAGCGTGGAGAAGATTCTGGCGATAGATTTGGCGAAACAAAGATGCGAGATTTAAGAGCTGGGCGAGCTTTGACGCGCGTTACTGTGCTATCTTATCTCCGTCATTTTAACTCGGGCTGCCTGAACCTCAATGCCTGGGCGAGATTTGACGAGCTTACGAAGCAATGCCAGCCTTGTATCCACCCATCGTCACCGCTCTGCGATTTCGCAGCGTTTCCGTACAAGGAACACCACTATCCGCCGAACACACGTCATCTTCAATCAATTCCACGTTGGAACAAGGACGCATTTGTGGTCTGACTGTAGTACCCTACCCTCTAGCGGATCCTTCTCGCTCGAGCTCACGTCTCAGCGCAGCCATCTCGCTCTATCGTCGACTCGCTCGCCACTCTCGCATCGTCGCTTTCCCCATTCCCGCGCGTCGCACGGCGGTTGACCTCCGACCCGCTGCCTCCGGCTCCTCCCATAATGTCGTTCGAAGGCAGCACCCCTGCTATTAGTACAACAGCGGCTGGTAGTAACGCGGTTTTTAGAAACGCTATTACCGCGTTTCTCGCTGCTGTCGCCGCATTACTGTGCTACCTTATCTACGTCATTTTAATCAAGCCGCTGCGCTTCCGTCGGCATTTCTCGAAGCAAGGCATTCCGTTTCTTCCATTCAGGTGCATTCTTCAATCTCCTAAATAAGCGGCTGACATCACAAAGCAAGGCATCTGATTTCTTTCAGGTATTACCAGCCGTAGCGCTTCACCTGAACCCCTTCGAACGCGTTTCGTCGACAATGCGCGAAGCAAGGAATTTGCTTCCATTTCAGGTACTACTCGCATTCAACCTGAGAGGTCTACCGTCTTTCCTTCCATTCTCTGAGCTTCCATCTTCCTCGCTCCACCATCCACATGTTTTCGCAGGCACTTCGAAATGAGTGGCGCATTCGCATCATTCACGCGTTTCTAAATGCACGCGCTTCTCAAAAGGCTCTCAGGTCTCTCACGCCGCTCTCACGCCGCTCTCACGCGAGAGGCTCCCAGGCCTCTATGAAATGCAGCATTTCGTGCACCAATCTTCGTTTTGCGTCCCACCTCTTCCTTCCCCTTCCTCCCCCTTCCTTCGCTATCCGTTCCTCTTCCCGTCCCTTCCCCTAGCAGGCCTCTGGTTGGGCAGCTTCCAGATTTCGCCAACCGCGAGCCTAAGCCCATACCTGCGTCCGAGCCTGCGCCTCTAGGTCCGGCAAGCCTCGGACCGCTGCTGTGGAAGTGGAGGTGCGAGCTGGGGATGGTCTTCGGCCTGTCCTTCGGCGCCTTCCAGCCCATCTTCATTGCCGAACCTGACCTCTTGCACCAGGCATGGCCGTTTAATGGGGAAGTCGGGAATTTCATATCTTATCCGTCCGTCCTTTTTGAGAATGTTCTATGATTTAGGCGTTTCAAGCTTTTAGAGGCGGTAAAGCAAGAAGAGTTGGTATTGCTGGGGTGGCCACTTCTGATTTCTGGCCAGCTCCCTTGCACCAGAAAGCTGACATGATTCGAGAGACGAATTCATCCATCGCACACGTCACTGCAAAGCGACTTCAAAGTTTTTGGAAGGCTTTCAGACATCTTCAGAAAGCATTTTTAGGCATTTTCCTTTTCCGCGATGCGACGCGGAGGGAGGGAGAGCACATGCTGGAAACACGACATACGTGTGTTGGCACCTCATTCGCCATGCGGGTTTTCCAGACAGACAGACAAGAACGCCAGGCGTGAGGTCAGGTTCCTGCCTCTTCCTCCCCCTTCTCCCGTTCCCACTCCCCCCTCCTATCCCACCCCACCATTCCCCCTCCCCATGCACGCAGATGGGATGTTGTGTACGAACCGCAACACTAGGATTCTCCTCCCCTTGTCAAACCTCTCCTTCCGCTTCTCCCTTCCACCTCCCTCTTTGTCTTTTCTCCTTCTCCCCTCCCCCTCACTCGAACCACTCGCATGTGGAACGTGTGCTCAGAAGATCAGAGCGCAAGGCGCACGGTGGCTTTCTTGTTGCCCCTACCTTCATTCTCGGCTTCTCCCCTCTCTCTCTCCCTGGTGGCACGCAGATCATGGTGGCGAAGAATTCCTCCTTCCGGAAGGACCAGAACTCGAGGCGCACGGTCAGCGTCTGTCTGTCCTTCTCTCCCTTCTCCCCCCTTGAACGCCCGTCTGCACTCACCCCTGTGTCTGTCAGATCATGGTATCAAAAACGCGTCGTTCCGGAAGGACCAGAACTCGAGGCGCACGGTCAGCGTCTGTCTGTCCTTCTTTCCCTTCTCCCCTCTTGAACGCCCGTCTGCACGCACCCATATGCTGTCAGATCATGGTGTCAAAGAGCTCGTCGTTCCAGAAGGATCAGAACTCGCGGCGCACGGTGGACTTCCTGGCGAACGGGCTGGTGTTCTCCGAGGGCGCCTTCTGGGCGCGGCAGCGCAAGATGATCACCCCCGCCTTCAGCCCCGCCTCCATCAAGGTGACTGCGACGATGGGGGATGATTGAACATACGACGGGGCAACAGCATGGGATGGGACATGGAAGTAGAAGGGATGAGGCATGGAAATATGGGGCATGGAACAACATGGCAGGCAGGGGACGTGGAACAACATGGGACAACGGGGCATTCAGCCCTGGCAATCAGCTGTGGCAATCAGCCCTGGCAATCAGCCGTGGCAATCAGCCCTGGCAATCAGCCCTGGCAATCAGCCCTGGCAATCAGCCTGGCAATCAGCCCTGGCAATCAGCCCTGGCAATCAGCCCTGGCAATCAGCCCTGGCAATCAGCCCTGGCAATCAGCCCTGGCAATCAGCCCTGGCAATCAGCCCTGGCAATCAGCCCTGGCAATCAGCCCTGGCTGGCATTCAGCCCTGGCCAACTAACCGTGCATTGAGCCCCACACGCATCAAGGTGATGCTCTTGATCCACAGCAAGTGCCATGCAGGATAATCAGCCCTGCTTACATTCAAGCGACTGTAACATCCCCGCAAGGTGCACAGCACAGCACAGTGCACACCATCGCTCATACCAGCAACAGCAGCAGCGACACTAACAGCCCCATTCCTCTCCTCCCCGCTTCCTCTCCTCCCCGCTTCCTCTCCTCTTTCCCCATCCTCGTTCTCTCCTCTATTCCTTTCCTTTCTCCTCTTATCCCACCACCCTACCCCATCACAGCACGCAGTGACGGTAATGAACGACCAAGCACGCAGGGCAGTGCAGCAGTGGGTGCACGCAGTCACCCACGCCCGCGACAGCAACGGGAGCAGGAGCGACAGTGGCAGCGGCGTGTGTGAGATTGACATGTATACCGCTTTCACCTCCCTCACTCTCGACATCATCGGCCTTGCTGCTTTTGGCAACACCGTCAGCAGCAGTGGGGCGGGCATGGGTGGCGGTGAAGGTGATGCCAAGGAGACGGAGGGGAAAAGGAGTGTGAATGGAGGAGAGGAGGAGGGGAGGAGTGTGAGGGAGGTGTATGAGGCGGTGGCTCTCCTGAGCACGGGAAGCACCAAGAGGATGTTTTCAGGCCGCCTCTTCATCCCCTTCTACACGTGAGTTGCACAAACGTGACTTCCCAGTGCAGTCACCTCCCAGTGCAGTCACCTCCCAGTGCAGTCACCTCCCAGTGCAGTCACCTCCCAGTGCAGTCACCTCCCAGTGCACTTACGTGAGCCTTCACTGATTTTGAGCCTCCAGTGGGACCTCAAAGCAGGGTACATCTTTCCGCCCTTCTGTTTCTCTCATCCTCTCCGCCCCTCAAGTGCTATTGGGGGCTGCTGTCTGTGCCATTGCCTTCTCCTCCCAACCCCGTGTGCCCATCCCCGTGTGCCCATCCCCGTGTGCACATCCCCGTGTGCCCATCCCCGTGTGCCCATCCCCGTGTGCCCATCCCCGTGTGCCCATCCCCGTGTGCCCATCCCCGTGTGCCCATCCCCGTGTGCCCATCCCCGTGTGCCCATCCCCGTGTGCCCATCCCCGTGTGCCCATCCCCGTGTGCCCATCCCCATGTGCCCATCCCCGTGTGCCCATGCCCATGTGCCCATGCCCATGTGCCCATGCCCATGTGCCCATGCCCATGTGCCCGTGTCCAGATAACCTCAGCTGGCTTTCTACAGAGGCAATAAACCTCTGTAGCAGGCAGTCTTTATTGCTCTCTTTCTGCCCGTGCCTCCTCCCCCCATGTGCCCATGCCCGTGACCCCTCCCCCCATGTGCCCATGCCCGTGCCCCCTCCCCCCATGTGCCCATGCCCGTGCCCCCTCCCCCCATGTGCCCATGCCCGTGCCTCCTCCCCCCATGTGCCCATGCCCGTGCCTCCTCCCCCCATGCGCCCATGCCCGAGCCTCCTCCCCCCATGTGCCCATGCCCGTGCCCCCTCCCCCCATGTGCCCATGCCCGTGCCCCCTCCCCCCATGTGCCCATGCCCGTGCCTCCTCCCCCCATGTGCCCATGCCCGTGCCTCCTCCCCCCATGTGCCCATGCCCGTGCCTCCTCCCCCCATGTGCCCATGCCCGTGCCTCCTCCCCCCATGTGCCCATGCCCGTGCCCCCTCCCCCCATGTGCCCATGCCCGTGCCTCCTCCCCCCATGTGCCCATGCCCGTGCCTCCTCCCCCCATGTGCCCATGCCCGTGCCTCCTCCCCCCATGTGCCCATGCCCGTGCCTCCTCCCCCCATGTGCCCATGCCCGTGCCCCTCCCCCCATGTGCCCATGCCCGTGCCTCCTCCCCCCATGTGCCCATGCCCGTGCCTCCTCCCCCCATGTGCCCATGCCCGTGCCTCCTCCCCCCATGTGCCCATGCCCGTGCCTCCTCCCCCCATGTGCCCATGCCCGTGCCTCCTCCCCCCATGTGCCCATGCCCGTGCCTCCTCCCCCCATGTGCCCATGCCCGTGCCTCCTCCCCCCATGTGCCCATGCCCGTGCCTCCTCCCCCCATGTGCCCATGCCCGTGCCTCCTCCCCCCATGTGCCCATGCCCGTGCCTCCTCCCCCCATGTGCCCATGCCCGTGCCTCCTCCCCCCATGTGCCCATGCCCGTGCCTCCTCCCCCCATGTGCCCATGCCCGTGCCCCCTCCCCCCATGTGCCCATGCCCGTGCCTCCTCCCCCCATGTGCCCATGCCCGTGCCTCCTCCCCCCATGTGCCCATGCCCGTGCCTCCTCCCCCCATGTGCCCATGCCCGTGCCTCCTCCCCCCATGTGCCCATGCCCGTGCCTCCTCCCCCCATGTGCCCATGCCCGTGCCTCCTCCCCCCATGTGCCCATGCACGTGCCCCCTCCCCCATGTGCCCATGCCCGTGCCTCCTCCCCCCATGTGCCCATGCCCGTGACTCCTCCCCCCATGTGCCCATGCCCGTGCCCCCTCCCCCCATGTGCCCATGCCCGTGCCTCCTCCCCCCATGTGCCCATGCCCGTGCCCCCTCCCCCCATGTGCCCATGCCCGTGCCTCCTCCCCCCATGTGCCCATGCCCGTGCCTCCTCCCCCCATGTGCCCATGCCCGTGCCTCCTCCCCCCATGTGCCCATGCCCGTGCCCCCTCCCCCCATGTGCCCATGCCCATGCCTCCTCCCCCCATGTGCCCATGCCCGTGCCTCCTCCCCCCATGTGCCCATGCCCGTGCCTCCTCCCCCCATGTGCCCATGCCCGTGCCCCCTCCCCCCATGTGCCCATGCCCGTGCCTCCTCCCCCCATGTGCCCATGCCCGTGCCTCCTCCCCCCATGTGCCCATGCCCGTGCCTCCTCCCCCCATGTGCCCATGCCCGTGCCTCCTCCCCCCATGTGCCCATGCCCGTGCCTCCTCCCCCCATGTGCCCATGCCCGTGCCTCCTCCCCCCATGTGCCCATGCCCGTGCCTCCTCCCCCCATGTGCCCATGCCCGTGCCTCCTCCCCCCATGTGCCCATGCCCGTGCCTCCTCCCCCCATGTGCCCATGCCCGTGCCTCCTCCCCCCATGTGCCCATGCCCGTGCCTCCTCCCCCCATGTGCCCATGCCCGTGCCCCCTCCCCCCATGTGCCCATGCCCGTGCCTCCTCCCCCCATGTGCCCATGCCCGTGCCTCCTCCCCCCATGTGCCCATGCCCGTGCCTCCTCCCCCCATGTGCCCATGCCCGTGCCTCCTCCCCCCATGTGCCCATGCCCGTGCCTCCTCCCCCCATGTGCCCATGCCCGTGCCTCCTCCCCCCATGTGCCCATGCCCGTGCCTCCTCCCCCCATGTGCCCATGCCCGTGCCTCCTCCCCCCATGTGCCCATGCACGTGCCCCCTCCCCCATGTGCCCATGCCCGTGCCTCCTCCCCCCATGTGCCCATGCCCGTGACTCCTCCCCCCATGTGCCCATGCCCGTGCCCCCTCCCCCCATGTGCCCATGCCCGTTCCCCCTCCCCCCATGTGCCCATGCCCGTACCTCCTCCCCCCATGTGCCCATGCCCGTGCCCCCTCCCCCCATGTGCCCATGCCCGTGCCTCCTCCCCCCATGTGCCCATGCCCGTGCCTCCTCCCCCCATGTGCCCATGCCCGTGCCTCCTCCCCCCATGTGCCCATGCCCGTGCCCCCTCCCCCCATGTGCCCATGCCCGTGCCTCCTCCCCCCATGTGCCCATGCCCGTGCCTCCTCCCCCCATTTGCCCATGCCCGTGCCTCCTCCCCCCATGTGCCCATGCCCGTGCCTCCTCCCCCCATGCGCCCATGCCCGTGCCTCCTCCCCCCCATGCGCCCATGCCCGTGCCCCCTCCCCCCATGCGCCCATGCCCGTGCCCCCTCCCCCCATGCGCCCATGCCCGTGCCTCCTCCCCCCCATGCGCCCAGCTGGCTGCCCACGCGGGAGAACAAGGAGCTGCAGCGGGCAGCGGAGAAGGTCAGGCGCCTGTCTCTCGACCTCATTGCCACGCGCAGACAGCAGCTGAAGGTGCATACTTGGGCTGGGGTGTGGGATGATGGGGCGGAAGTGGGGGGGACAGGAGAGGAGAGAGGGTCGCAGCGCAGGTAGCAGCATTGAGCGTGCTATGGCTGTCTCTGGGGCTCATTGCCAGGCGCAGACAGGAGCAGGTGGTGGGTGGTTGGTTGTTCGAAGGGGAAAGGGGAGGTTGGAGGATTAGGTGGGGAGCGGAGTGGTGCAGCAGGCAGGTGAGAGGGTGCTGGCACTATGCATGCATGTCGACTCATGCATGCACTATTCCGTTCCCTGGCTTTCCCAGGTCAAGGCCCCAACCACTTTTCCCCCTTTCTCCCCTTTCCTTCCCCCTTCTCCCGTTTCTCTGCCTTCCGCCCTGTCATCTCTCCTTCCTCTCCCAGGGCGAGCGGGGTGACGGCCTGTTGGCCGTGGTGCTGGCATCTGCTCGGCAACACTTAATCTCCCATCCCCCCCACGCGCCACGCCCCATGCCCCACGCCCCATGCCCCATGCCCCATGACCCATGCCCTACGCCCCATGCCCCACGCCCCATGACCCATGCCCTACGCCCCATGCCCCACGCCCCATGCCCCATGGCCCATGCCCCGTGCCCCATGCCCCATGCCCCATGCCCCGTGCCCCGTGCCCCATGCCCCATGCCCGATGGCCCATGCCCCGTGCCCCATGCCCCGTGCCCCATGCCCCATGCCTCATGCCCCGTGCCCCGTGCCCCATGGCCCAACGTCCATGTGCCCATGCGAGCTCAGGCAAGCCACGGAAGGCCTGCTGGCAGTGATGACGGCGTGTGATGGGCACTATTCCCCCCATCTTCGACACCCCCTATCTCCCCTGCCTTCTTCCCCCACAACCCTGCTTCCCCACACCTTCCTCCATCCAACCAGAGCGAGCCAGAGAACGCTGCTGGCAGTGAAGCTCTTTCTCCCATCCCCAACTCCAACCCTAAACTCCTCTTCCTTCCCCTGCTCCCTCTCCGCACTCCCTCTCCCCATGCTCCCCTTGCTCCAACCAGAGCGAGCCGGGGAAGGACCTGCTGGCAGTGATGCTGGCAGCGAGGGATGACGTCAGCAACGAGCAGATGACCGACCAGCAGCTGGTGGACGAGTGTGTCACGTTCCTCGTGGCCGGTATGGTGCGGTGCTGTGCGGTGGTGGGTGGTGGTGGGTGGTAGTTTGCGGTGGTGATGAATGGTGACTTGCGGTGATGAGTGGTGGTGGAGCATGGGAGGGAATGTAGTGGTGGTGTGTGGTTGCCGGCCTGCAGCAGGTGGGTGAATGTGTGGCGCTGTTGCTGCAATCCGTCTTGTAGTGCTTGCTGCTCTTGCTCGTGTGTTGGTGGTGCTGTCGGTGCTGCTGCTGCTGCTGCTGCTGCCAGCGGTGCCGGCAGTAAGTGCTCGTGGAATGCATGTGGAGATGGTGCTGTGGTAACGTAGGGAGACATGCGGTAGTGTTTGCTGATGGGTGGTGATCGGTGCTGATGGGTGGTGCTGTGTGTGTGGGATGTGGGGTTATGTGCTGTGAGTGAGCGTGGTGACGCAAGGTGATGGGTGATATGCGGTGATGGTTTTGGAGCGACTGGTACACCAGTTGGTATGAGTGAGACACAGAGGGGCATGCCTCCTTTCTCCCATGCTCCCATGCTGTTCCCACCCCTCCCACGGGCAGGCCACGAGACAACAGCCAAGCTGCTGACGTGGGGCGTGTACCTGCTGGCGCGCTTCCCTGAGTGGCAGCAACGGCTGCGGGAGGAGGTGTGGCAGGTGATGGGGGAGCATGGCGATGCAGGTGAAGGGGCCAAGGAAGGTGGAGAGGAAGGGGAGAAGGAGGAGGGGGCGCGGGGCAAGAATGGAGGGGGCGGAGTGGAGGTGGCATGGGAGCAAGTGGCGCAGCTGCGGCAGATGCACATGGTGCTGCTGGAGACGCTCAGGCTCTTCCCACCCACGCCTACCATCACCAGGGAGGCCAGCAAGGTGAGGCCAGCAAGGTGAGGCACACGCATAAAACGTACAGGCACACTCGTTGCTGCCCTTTGTGTCCTGTGTGTTCCTTCCCCCTTCATACAGGCCCAGCCCTTATGTGACTTGTGTGCGTCATCCATGCCAGCAGGACCATCTTCATGCACCTCGCCATGCCCTACACCCACCCTTCCCATCCTTTTCCCCATGCATTCCTTTCCCCATGCCTTCCTTTCCCCATGCCTTCCTTTCCCCATGCCTTCCCATGCCTTCCTTTCCGCCATGCCTTCCCATCCATCGTTTTCCCTATGCCTTCCTTTCGGCCATGCCTTCCCATCCTTTTCTCCACGCCTTCCCATCCTTTTCCCCAAGCCTTCCCATCCTTTTCCCCACGCCTTCCCATCCTTTTCCCTATCCCTTCCTTTTCCCCCATGCCTTCCCGTCCTTTTCCCCATGCCTTCCCATGCCTTCCTTTCCGCCATGTCTTCCCATCCATCGTTTTCCCTATGCCTTCCATTCCGCCAAGCCTTCCCATCCTTTTCCCCACGCCTTCCCATCCTTTTCCCCACGCCTTCCCATCCTTTTCCCCACGCCTTCCCATCCTTTTCCCCACGCCTTCCCATCCTTTTCCCCACGCCTTCCCATCCTTTTCCCCACGCCTTCCCATCCTTTTCCCCACGCCTTCCCATCCTTTTCCCCACGCCTTCCCATCCTTTTCCCCACGCCTTCCCATCCTTTTCCCCACGCCTTCCCATCCTTTTCCCCACGCCTTCCCATCCTTTTCCCCACGCCTTCCCATCCTTTTCCCCACGCCTTCCCATCCTTTTCCCCACGCCTTCCCATCCTTTTCCCCACGCCTTCCCATCCTTTTCCCCACGCCTTCCCATCCTTTTCCCCACGCCTTCCCATCCTTTTCCCCACGCCTTCCCATCCTTTTCCCCACGCCTTCCCATCCTTTTCCCCACGCCTTCCCATCCTTTTCCCCACGCCTTCCCATCCTTTTCCCCACGCCTTCCCATCCTTTTCCCCACGCCTTCCCATCCTTTTCCCCACGCCTTCCCATCCTTTTCCCCACGCCTTCCCATCCTTTTCCCCACGCCTTCCCATCCTTTTCCCCACGCCTTCCCATCCTTTTCCCCACGCCTTCCCATCCTTTTCCCCACGCCTTCCCATCCTTTTCCCCACGCCTTCCCATCCTTTTCCCCACGCCTTCCCATCCTTTTCCCCACGCCTTCCCATCCTTTTCCCCATGCCTTCCCATCCTTTTCCCCATGCCTTCCCATCCTTTACCCCATGCCTTCCCCCATGCCTTCACCATTGCCGCATTTCCCCATTTCCCGTGCCCACCAGGACGTCTCCCTGGGCCCGTACAGCATCCCTGCCGGCACGCGCATCATGATGTCGCTCGCCATGCCGCACAGCGACCCGCGCTACTGGGGGGAGGACGCGCTCCACTTCAACCCCGCTCGCTTCAAGGGTACGCCCCCAGCCGCGCCTCATGGCGTTGCGCTGCAGTCACACCATCCATCTGCTGCTAGGGGGGTGGACGGGAGGGAGGGAGGGAGAAGAGAGGGGGAAGGGGTTCACTCATCACAGTTAAGATTCACGTGAGCACTTGGAGCTCAGTCAGAGTGCATGCATCTTAGGTTCAAGTGTTTGTGAAAAATGAACTTCGTTTCATCTCGGCGCAGCTGGCGCATCACACGGTCCTCTCTCCACATGGGTACTCACTTGGTTCTCCGTCCTGGGTCTTTCCTTGATTCAGCTCACCCCACTGCCATTCATTCCCTCATTGCCCTTAATCCTCCCTTGCCCTTCATCCCCCCCCTGCCCATCCTCCCCTCACCATGAGCCCCCACAGACGGCATACAGGGAGCATGTTCGCACCCACAGGCCTTTGTGCCATTCTCAGCAGGCCCCCGGGACTGCATTGGCTCCAACTTTGCTCTCACAGAGGCCAAGGTTGTACTTGCGCATTTGCTCAGGCGCCTCCAATGGGAGCTCTCGCCCACATATGTACACCTGCCCAGTGTGGGAATCACGCTTACCCCTAAATATGGGATGCCTCTACGTATGAGGTTGGTGGAGTAGCTTGTTACTAATTTTGAACTTATCTATCTATCACTTGTTATGTCTCATCTTTAAGCTTGTACTTGCAAATGTGTTACAGTGCTTCCTATTATGCACATGTTACCCTAAACCATCTGCTGCGAACGTAAAAAAATATGTGATAGCCATGCTTGAGGCTCAGAGAAAAGTGGAAATGGAAATGTATCTGTGACAGAACCAGCGACTATGATGTAAAACATATTCTTGGCTTCGATCGAATGCGGTTACCATTCCAGTATGAAAATAGCAGAGAAATATGAGAACGTGTAGGATTGGAGAAATAAATTATGAATGCAATTGGGGTCAATCAAATGAATGAAAATATAAAGTAAGAACCCCTATGTAAACCAGAATAGAACAAACTAAAATGATTGATATCGTACACCCCAGACACTGTTTGTTGAATATCAGTGTTTCAGTGGATTCCGAACCTGGGTCTTGGTTTGGGAGAACCGTATCTGGGCTGAGGGCGTGTTGCTTCATGTGCAAGTGGGATCCAAGCGCTGGACCTCGAAGTGAGTAACTCTGCAAATGTGAAAATACTAAGCACGAAGCAAAGTTGTGTAACTCGGGGTCAAGCGAATGAAGTTGCCCAAACAAGCCGCAGCAGGCCCTCAGATATCAGCGTAAAACACGCTGATTAGGCTGATTTTGTAGCTGTGATTTTCGTTTTCCCTGAGAATTCAGCATATGCTTCAATTTTGCACTGAATTTTCAGTATAACCTATCTTGTCACACTGACCATTTTGCGTGTTGCTGTACAAGTAACACTGACGAATCAGTACAGTGATGTGAGTCACACTGAAACGAACTTGACCGCGTGGGGGGGGTGGGGGGGGGGGGGGGGGGGGGGGGGGGGGGGGGGTTGGGGGGCGGTTAGGACAGGGTACGCGTGTACAGTCTGTACCTTCCCGTGATTCACGATCCCGTGATTTTTTTCCCAACAGTTGGTGCGCGCCAAACTGTTTTGCCTCGCTGGAAAATACCTATCACAACACAACAGCTCTGGTGACGCTGCTGCACAACACTCCGTTTTAACCTTGTTCACGACTGCCCACTATCACCTTGTTCTTTTTACACTGATGGTTCAGTATACTAGGAATTTTTACACTGACAAAATCAGTATAAACAAAACCATGAATGCTGATTTGGACACCTGGTTGGCTGGGGCACGCTGATCCATCAGCATACCCTCAAACCAATCTGAGGGCCTGAGCCACAGGATCGTCCAGTGAAGAAATGTACTCTGTCGCGCTGCTCAGGGGGATGCGCGCAGAGATATTGCCCAACCAGAGACTCTCCCGAAATTTCAGATCTTGGACCTCAGTTCACCACGTACAAGTCACCAAGGCCTCCTATGAATCTGCAAAACCACCCCACGACAGACTGAACCTCGTTTTGCACGACGCCCTAAAACTCCAGCTTCTGTGCTTCGAAGGCTCACCCATCTGGGTAGGCAGCCCGCACGGGAGCATCATCTGGGAAGCAGGAAAAGCGGCTCTCATGAGATTCTGGAGGCGAAATCGCGCGCATCGGCGAAAATCGCATTTTGTTTAAACGAATCGACCCAAATTGCTCCGACTTCGCCACGTGGGCGTTTTTCTTAATTGATTGGACCGCCTTTTGTCAGATTATTATAGCTGATGCATGTTTGTAGGCCATAGTGGGGTAGCACATATGGGGTACAGTTTGCTAGGGTTGTATTTGTACCCAACTCTGACTTAGTCAATTCATTCCTGTTCATTCCTTTCACATGGTATAGAGCGGGTTCCCTGTGGGAACTTCGCCTAGGGCCCACCGAAGCGCGCCCCGAGGCGCGCGATCCTTTTTTTTTAGCGACCCCCCCGAGTCGCCCTTCCCCTGCGGCCCCGCCGCCCTTCGTTCGCGGCCCCGCCGTCCAGTCGCGGCCCCGCCCTTACGTCGCGGCCCCGCCCTTACGTCGCGGCCCCGCCACTAAGTCGCGGCCCCGCCACTAAGACGCGGCCCCGCCACCCAGTCGCGGCCCCGCCGCCTACTCGGACGCGGCCCCGCCGCCTGCTAAGACGCGGCCCCGCCGCCTGCTAAGACGCGGCCCCGCCGCCTGCTCAGCCGCGGCCCCGCCGCCCTCTACGACGCGGCCTCCGCCGCCTGCAGACGCCGCGGCCTCCGCCGCCTGCTCAGCCGCGACCCCGCCGCCCGCTACGACGCGGCCTCCGCCGCCTGCTCAGCCGCGGCCCCGCCGCCCTCTACGACGCGGCCTCTGCCGCCTGCTCAGCCGCGGCCCTGCCGCCTCCTACGACGCGGCCCCGCAGCCTGCTCAGCCGCGGGTGCTTCCAGCGGCCCTCCGCTGCATCCTGACGGCCCGCCGCTGCAACCTGCGGCCCCGCCACTGCGCCTGTCCCGGCTCCGCCACTGCACCCTGACGGCCCCGCCGTCCCCTGTCTCGGCCCCACCGCTGCACCCTGACGGCCCCGCCGTCCCTTGTCCCGGCCCCGCCACTACACTGCAGCCGAGCCGCCCAGCAGCAGCCGAGCCGCCCAACAGCAGCCGAGCCGCCCAGCAGCAGCCGAGCCGCCCAGCAGCAGCCGAGCCGCCCAGCAGCAGCCGAGCCGCCCAGCAGCAGCCGAACCGCCCAGCAGCAGCCGAGCCGCCCAGCAGCAGCCGAGCCGCCCGGTACCTGAGCCGCCCGAGCCGCCCGAGCCGCCCGAGCCGCCCGAGTCGCCCGAGCCGCCCGAGCCGCCCGAGCCGCCCGAGCAGCCCGAGCCGCCTGCTGCTGACCTACCCGACTCTCCCATCCCGGTGAGACTTTCAGCTGCTGCCATGGCCACCCCCAATGTTCTCACTTTTGACGCTGAGGGGAGGGCCATTGACTTTGCCGTCTGGATCGAGGACCTGCAGCTGTACTTACTGTGTGATGCGGTAGATGAGGTCTCTCTCTTTGACTTTGTCTCTGGCACTGTCCCTGCCCCGCCTGCTGATGCTGACTCTGCCGTTCGCTCCAAGTGGGCGACCCGCGATGCTGCTGCACGTCTTGCTGTGCGTCGCCACCTCCCTTCCTCTGAGCGTGCCCACTTTAGTCAGTGCAAGACCGCTCAGGCCTTGTACGACGCTGTAGTTGCGCGCTACTCCTCCCCTTCCTCCGCTACCCTTAGCCGCCTCATGCTACCGTTTCTCTTCCCTGACCTCGCTTCCTTTCCCACTGTCGCTGACCTCGTTACCCACCTCCGCGCTAGTGACACCCGCTACCGCGCTGCCCTTCCTGCTGAGTTCCGCGCTGCGAACCCTCCTCCCATGTACATCACTCTCTACTTTCTCGTCACCCGTCTCCCTGAGTCCCTTCGTGTCGTTAGGGACCAGTTTCTCTCTGTCTGTCCCACCACTCTCACTGTCGACCTCCTTGAGGAGTCCCTGCTAGCGGCTGAGAAGAGTATTGTCGCTGTAGGGGCCTCTCGGGGTGACCCTCGCACCCCCATCTTTGAGGGGTGTGGTCCCTCCCCCCTGCTGCCCTCTGTCGCCTCTGCCGCTGCGGCCGACCTCGTTGGTTTTGAGTCGGTCGGCGCGGCGTCTGCCCCCAGTGGCAGACGCCGCACTGGCAAGGGCAAGGGGGGCAAGGGAGCGGGTGGAGCCAGAGGGGGCGGTGGAGGAGGCGGTGGGGGTGGAGGGGGGAGTGGGGGTGGCGGGGGGGGTGGTGGCGGGAGTGGAGGTAGTAGTGGCGGCGGTGGAGGCGGAGGTGGCGGCGGAGGTGGTAGCGGAGGAGGCGGTGGGAGCGGTGGGAGCGACGGTCCTGGTGGGGGAGGTGGCGGTGGCGACGGGGGTGGCGGTGGAGGCGGGGGTGGCGGTGGAGGAGGGGGTCGGAGTGGCTCGTCCCAGCGGAGCAGCTCTGGGGGTGGTCAGCGCCAGCAGCAGCAGCAGCAGCAGCAGCCGCAGCAGCAGCCGCAGCAGCAGCAGCAGCGCTCTCGCACCGTCCCCGGCCCTCAGCAGCTCCGTGAGTGGTACTTGCAGCGTCAGCGCGGTGGTGCGCTTGGTCCCTGCCCCTACGTTCTTCGCACTGGTGACCGTGCAGGGGAGAGGTGTGGAGGCGCCCACACAGCCCGTCGCTGCTTTGGCCGCCTGACCGACGCCTGGCGTCAGCAGTTTCCGGAGGCCGCTGAGATCCCCCGCTGGGGAGAGCTGTCTAGGGCTGGTGTAGCTATTTATGATCTTGATTTTGATGCTATTCTCTCTGCTATGTATGCTGTGACTGGTAGTGATGAGGATGACTGTTACCGGTGTTTCCCGCCCGACCCGGGCATTGGTACTGCCGCGTCAGGTACTAGTGAGGCTGCTGCTCTAGGTGCCAGTGCGTCTGTGCTTTCAGGTACTGGTGAGTCCGCCCTCTCAGGTACTGTGTCGGCTTCGGCCTCTCACACCTTCACCCTTGACTCTGGAGCGTCTCGCTCCTTCTTTAGGGACCGCACCACTCTCACGCCGCTGAGTCGGCCTGTTGCGGTGTCCCTGGCGGACCCCTCTGGGGGGCCTGTCCTGTCTCGCTTCTCCACTGTCCTCCCGTGTCCGGCGGCCCCCTCTGGCACCCTGACTGGTCTCTACCTCCCCTCGTTCTCGACGAACTTGGTGAGTGGTGCTGACCTCCAGGATGCAGGTGTCCACCAGTTCACCCCTGCTCGTCAGCGGGTGACCCACTGTACGGAGGCGGATACAGGTCGCCACCTGGCTACGTTTACACGTCGGCCGGGGTCGAGCCTGTACACACTGACCACTGCTTCTCCTCCAGGTACTGCGTCTGGTAGGGCCCCTTCGTCTGGTCAGGTGTTTGCTGCAGCGTCCAGGTCTGGTCCTGAGTCTGCCCCTTGTTCGTGTCGTCGTCTGTCTCACGAGACCCTCCTCTGGCACCACCGCCTTGGCCACCCCTCTCTGCTTCGGCTCAGAGGCATGGCCTCGCGGGTCCTTGTGTCTGGTCTTCCCCGGTCCCTCCCTCCCCTTCCTCCGGGCCCTGGCCCTGCCTG